ACGGAGCCCCGACGGTCGGACCCACGGCGGGCCCGGAGAGCAGGTGAGAGAGCGATGCGGGGCGCACCTCGGGGGCCAGCTGGCCGCCCTCCATCTCTCGCGTCCCCCGCAGCCCCGCAGAGAAGCCTCCTCCCGCCCCACCCCTGTCTGCCGTATTCCTGCCCGCGTTTCCCTCGCCCTCGGTTTCCCCCTTGCCCGCTGTCTCTCCGGCGCTCTCTGGCTGTATGGCTTAGGGGCAGGCGCAGTGGGTCTGAACTTCCCGCCCTGACCGCCGTGGGGACTCTGATGGACTCTGCCCCTTTCGCCCGCCGTGCAGTGCGCCAGGTGCTAGGGCCCGATTCCAGAGTCGGGGGGGGGGCATTCCACGGGTTGGGCAGCCGGGCCAAAGGCATGGAGGTGGAAATGAGTGTGGCTTCCGGCCGGTCCAGGCTGTTGGGAGAGCCAAGGCCAGGCTCACCCAGACTGGCCACTCCGGAGCTCCCCAGTGGCCTGAAGCCGGGGCCTCAGTTTTACCAGCTGTAAACTGGGACTGTCACCTGCTGAGATAATTGGCAGGTGAGCTGACCCAGATCTGCAGGCATCACCACCTCCTCTGTGCTGGGGGCCGTCTTGCAGGAGGGGCAGCCCCAGGTGCAGACAGGCCTCCCGAGTTTGTCTGAGCCCAGCTGGGGGAGGTGAAGGCCCTGAGGGGCGGCAGCGGAGTGAGGGCATTTGGGGAGTTCAGATCTTGGAATAAGGCAAACCAGGGTCCTGCTCTGCTGCTCACCATCGTCCCTTGAACAGGTGATTCGATTCTCCCACCTCGGTTTCTGTCTGTATAACGAGGAGGGATATGACGCCCTGGGGCTCAGGGCTGCTTCCAGGATTCAATGCGGGGAGGCAGGTCCTGCGCGCCTCCTTCTGGCCCTCACTCCAGCTTTCCCCCTCACTTGCTCTCCTGCAGCCACAGCAGCCTCCACATCACTGGCCAGGCATGGCCTCAGGGCCTTTTACAGGCTGTTCCCTCCGTGGCTATGCCATGCCCGTGGCGCGAACTTTAAAACATAACAAGTTACCTAGATGGGCCGGGCCAAGGGACTGCCAGGCGAGGGCTGGGCAGCTGGGAGGGGCGAAGGAGGGACGCTGTACCTATGGAAACTGGAACAAAGAGCCGTAGTCCCAGCCACACAAATACCTGGTCTCTGCTTCTTGCACTTGGCAGGTCTGGTGGCCTGAGACACCGGTGGTGGGTGAGTGTTCAGACTCCTGAGGGGCAGGTGTGGGGCTCAAACCCTGGGGGAAAGAGCGGGTGGGGCAAGGGGGTCCCCAAACAAAGGGATTAGCCAGGTAGGTGCAGATTCGAGGCCCTGTGGTGTTCCCTCTTGCTGTGTGGCCTTGGATTTGTCAGATGTCCCCTGAGCCCGAGTTTCCTAATCTTGCTTGGTGATCTGATTAGGTGGGTGCGGGGGGCCTCAGTGCCCCATCTGTCAAATGGGGCCGAGAGTGTGCCTAAGACAAAACTCCAGCTGTTGTCATGGAAACAGCCTCACCTAGAGCCAGATGCTGAATAATGACTCACGCTTGTCTGGGTTCAGTCCGGTGTTACAGACAGGGAGGTGGGGGCCTAGAGCTGGCAGGACCCGGCCCAGCTGCACCGCACACACTCTCCTGGGGCCCCCCTACACCCCTCCACCAGACGGCCTCCGCTGGAGTCTCACCCTCCTGAGCTTTCACAGAGGCACCTCCGGCCGAGTCAATGAGGTCTTCTAAGGTGCTGTCCTCCAGTTTCCCCTTCCTCCAGCGGGGTGGTGGAGGTTGGGGAGTGTCTGCCTGGGGGACCCCTCCTCCAGAGGGGCTCATGTAACGAGCCCGTGCCACTGTGTTGTCCGGGGGCATCTCTGTCTCTCTGGGCCGCAGTTTCCCTGGTTGAACAGTGGGGCCCTTGAGCAGGATCTCAGACTGTGCCTCTCCGGTGCTGAGGGGTCATTCATTCCTTCAGCAGTAGTTTCTGAGCACCTCCTGGGAGCCAGGCTTGGGGGTTGGGAGAGACAGACGTCGGTCCAGGAAATCGTCACACTTAGCTGTAACTGCGTGAAGATGGTGAAGAGTCTGATGGATGGGGAAGCTGGTTTAGATGGGCGTTTTGAGAGGGCCTCCAGCGGAGGTGGCATTTGAGGTGAGGCCTGAATGACAAGAAACAGTCATGTGGAAACTGGGGAGGTAGGGCAAAGGCCTTGAGGCAGGAGGAGGCTCCTGTGGCCGGAGCAGAGTGAGCGAGAGGGAGAGAGGGACGAGGGGAGGGCAGGGAAGGGACAGGGGCAGGTCGTGCAGGGCCTTGTGGGCTACCAGGAGGACTTGGGCTTTCACCCTGAGGGAGGTGGGGGCCCTGGAGGGCTGTGGATCAGCAGGAGCAGGACCTGACTCGGGTGCTCACGCGCGCCCTCTGGTGGTTGCTGCAGGCAGGATGGACATGGGGCACCAGCGGACCGGGCCCAGGCAGTGAAGAGATAAGTGGATAGAGCACTCTTCACTCAGTAGAAATCTGACCACACGTGCGTTCACGCGCGCCCTCTGGTGGTTGCTGCAGGGAGGACGGACATGGGGCACCAGCGGACCGGGCCCAGGCAGCGGAAAGATAAGTGGGTAGAGCCAGGACTCATTTAGGGGCTGCATCGGCGCTCCAGCCATGCGACCCTGGCGCCCCAACTCCTGTTAGGCATCCTTTGCTCAGCCTGAGCCCCAGCCTACCCTGGCATGCCCTGCTCGGAGTTGGGCGGTGGTCTCTCAACATTCGCGTTTGGCACTCACACTCTTCACTCAGTAGAAATCTGACCACACGTGCGAGTGTCCTGGCTCCGGCCGCAGCCTGGCCGGTGGCCAGACACTGCCCGTACGTCCTTAGGAAGGGCTCTGGGAAACCCGGTATGAGAACCGCAGGTGTCTCCCCCACCTCTGGCAAGCAGATTCCTTTCTCCCTTTGCCCATATTTAAAGTGGGCACTGACCAAGCGGTCTGAGTGATGATTTAAAGGGCTCGATGCAGGGGGCGCCCGGAAGTCAGCAGAGGGTAGTGTAGAACAAGGACTGTGGGGTCCTCTGCCATGGTGGGCAGAGGCCTGCCCTCCCAGGCCACCCTAGGCCGCTGCAGCCAGGGCCGAGAGAGGAGAGACGGAACGGCTGGTTTGGCCCTGCCGAGCAGGCCTATCAATTATTGACACCCTTTGTGTGAGGCATGAAGAATTCATGTGTTGGAGACGGGCTGCCCGTGGACCAGTGACGTGCTGGAGCCGGCACACTCCGCTCACGAGAGCCACTTGCTGTGTTTCCAGGGATTTTGCCACCTAATAATTTTGTCATTTTAAAAAGTGACAGGCTATGAACTTATAGTAAAGGATATTTAAAACAAAGCTATGGAATATTATTCAGCCATAAAAAGGACTAAAGCGTTGATGCTCGCCATAACGTGGACGCAC